CCTTATGCTGCTGGTGAGAGCCACAGCCTCCCAGTCTGCCTTACTACAATCAACCGGGCCTGTCTCCACCCCCTTGGCTGCCCCCCATTGCCCGCTGCCTGTGTCCCCCGAACCTGCTTTCTCGTCCCTCCTTCCAAGCCTCCCACGAGCAGTGAGGCTGCCAGCATCTGTGCTGACACCCCCATCCCCACTCCATTCCCCTGCCCTTGTGTCCATCTAGTGAGTCTTTGCCTCCTCAAAACACAGCTGTCACCTCCCTCGGATTCACCCGATTTCCTCAACAGTGCACACCTGCGTTGGTGCCGCTGTGAGATCTCTAGGGCCATGGCTGTGCTCCTCTGGAGTCCCCTGCCTCCAGGCCTGGAATCACGTTCCAGTCACTGTGTCACCTGAGCCCCGATGGTAGATTTCTGAGTGCAGAACACAAGGCAGAGTCGCCAAACCTGTATATCAAACCGTCAAGCACCAAGGACCACCACGACCCTCGCAGTGTCATGGCTACCCATGCAGACAGAAGCAGGGAACACACATAGGAGCCAACATGCATGGTGCCCACACTGGCTCATCACATGTCGGTTCTCTTCACAGCCAACAACCCTAGGAAGTAGGCACCAGAGCTCATTTTTCAGAGGCAGAAACAGAGACATCAAGACCCATGCCATAGAACTTTGCAGAGTTGGGATTCAAGCCTGGGTTTCTGGCTGCAGGGCCTGCACTTAGCCATAACACGGCACTCCACGCTGCCTACGCCTGTCTTAGCCAGTGCGGGTCAGCTCGGTCTCTGAAGCCACAGGGCTTAAAGTCCCAGCTCCCTTCCTCCTGTGGCCTAAAGCCAACGGGCTGCTCCAAGCTTGCTTTCTCATCTGGAGAATGGGGACAACTGACTAATAGGGTCACCCTATGTAGGACAAGGAGCTCCGTCATGGCGCCGTGTTATCGGAGAGACCGGTATAACCACACTGTCCCCTGGTGACCTCCTTGGTCAGTGCTCCAAGGTCAAATACTGTAGTCGCCCCTCACCTTCAGTAGTGAAGGCCTCGGGGCTTGACCACCCAAGGGCCCAAGTACAGGCAGCAGGACACCACCAGATGACTTTCCTTTGGATGGCCAGGACTCTTGGCCGCTCCTGGACCCCGAATACACAACTCACCAGCCTGGCAACATGGGGCTAGCAAAAGCGAGCCTTTTAAAATTCACCAACCTACTTCCAAAAGGCTCACCTACAAGGCAGCTGAGTCCACACCCGACAGCTGTGGCAGGGGTGACAGCGCGCCATCCACCTTGGCTGAAATAACCAAGTCTGCCAAACCCCTGTGTTTACATGTCAAGGAAAGAGCCAGGCATTGTGGGCTCTGGACTGTCTCAAGGTTGCATCTCTCAGTGTGCCACTTAGCAGCAGATGAATGGAATGAATGAGTGAATGGTGGATGACAGCAATGAATACACGGTCCTGTCCTTTAATCTAGGTAAGAATGATAGCTGCACAGACACCTCCAGGGTAACAGGGTCAGAGCTATGCTGGAGGCACCAACCATGGGCTTGGTATGAGCTCACTCCTGGCAGGGCAGGGACAGCCCCCGAGAAGGCTTCCTGAGTCAGCTTGTCTCTGGGGAGGGAAGACTCCAGGAAGAGGAAACAGTAGAGTATTAACAGCAGGGCTACTAACAGCAGTAGCGGCAGCCATTAAAAACACACAGCATTAGGCCGGGCCCAGTGGCTCAAGCCTGTAATCCCAGCACTTTGGAAGGCTGAGGCGGAAGGATCACCTCAGCCCTACAGGTCGAGGCTGCAGTGGCCATGAACATGCCACAGCACTCCAACCTGGGCAACAGAGGGAGACTGGCTCACACAAACAAACGAACAACAAACAAGAGATAATGAATGGTGCTGTTAAAATGAGATACCAGTCAGGCGTGGTGGCTCATGCCTGTAATCCCAGCACTTTGGGAGGTCAAGCTGAGAGGATTGCCTGAGCCCAGGGACGTTAGAGACCAGCCTGGGCAACTCAGCAAGACTTAGGATCTACAACAAATCAAAAAATTAGCTGGGTGTGGTGGCATGCACCTGTAGTCCGAGCTACTTGGAAGGCTGAGGCAGAAGGTTCACCTCAGTCCTACAGGTTGAGGCTGCGGTGGCCCTGAGTGTGCCGCTGCATTCCAGCCTGGGTGACAGAGTGAGACTCTGACTCAAAAATAAAAACAAAAAACAAGAGACAGTGAATGGTGCTGTTAAAATGAGACACAGCTGGGCACGGTGGCTCACGCCTATAATCCCAGCACTTTGGGAGGCTGAGGCAAGAGGATTTCCTTAGCCCAGGGGTGTTAGAGACCAACCTGGGCAACTTGGTAAGACCTCCTCTCTACAATAAATCAAAATTATCCAGGTGTGGTTGCACGTGCTATAGGTCCTGCTACTTGGAAGGTTGAGGCAGAAGGATTGCCTGAGCCTAGCAGGTCAAGGTTGCAGCAGCCGTGAGCGTGCCACTGCACTCCAGCCTGGGTGACAGAGTGAGACTCTGACTCAAAAAAAAGTTGAGTAATCTGCCCAAGGTCCTGCAGTTGCCAGGTGCAGCAAGGTTCTCAGATCCATAGGCTGGGGGCACTATGGCCACCCAAGTTGCATGCAGCATGTGGTCTGTCCATGCGTCCATGTGTGTTTCTAGAGAAGGGAGCCTGGCATGTACCTCAGAGGGACTGTCGACCCATCCCTTGAGCAGTGCCGACCCCTGGCCTAGAAGAACCGGCACCTGGTGCTGGCCTGGCCTCCAGGAGCCTAACATTTGGGTCCTAAGGCTTTGAGGTGCATCACTTCTGTCCCGCCATCTGTCTACAACAGAAGAGCTACGTACATTTGCTTATTTAATTCTTACAACAGCATGGTGGCTCATGCCTGTAACCCCAGCACTGTGGGAAGCTGAGGCAGGAGGACTGCCTGAGCCCAGGAGCTCGAGACCAAGCAAACATTTAAAAATTTGCCAGGCATGGTGGTGCATGCCTGTAGTTCCTACTTGGGAGGCTGAGGCCAAGAGGATCACCCAAGCCCAGGAAGTCGAGGCTGCAGTGATCCATGATCATGCCCTGCATTCCAGCATTGGTCCTTCAGTATCTCCTTAGTTTTCCGGGAAATGAAGGTCGATCTGAAATATGCACATCAGATGCCTTTAGTACTGTACTAGCCCTGCGGCCCAACTCAGTCCCAGGATGTCTCCACTCATGCCACCCACCCTTCCCCCTCCTCAAGTGACCTTCTCTACCACCTGCAAACCATCGCTACGGCCAGCCACCCTTTACCCAGCAGCTGCCCTAATCTTTCTGAAGCTTGTCTTGCCTCAAGAGAACTTGACTGGTCTTTTCTTAAAGAATGCGCTTTTCCAAATCAGGGTAAGTTAACACCTCAAGTTGCTGGGGGACACATCAGGCTAGTGTAGTCAGACCCCAAGCTGCACCTTCAAGCCAGTACAAAGCAGACTGGCACGGGCTGGAATCCCAATCTGGCCTCACCACTCCACTCCTGGACAGTCTCCATGAACACAAGCCCAGACAAACAGAAGGCTGTGTGCGGAACAGTTTGCCCGAGCCAGAACCTCAGCGTGTCCCAAGGAGGAGTTCCGTGACCCACCAGTAGGCACGCCCAGGGAAAGGTTCACCAGTCAAGTATTCACCTGAGGACACTCGTTGAAAAGTTAGGTGGTTTCTTTACTGCAGGATTCCTCAGAGCTTTTACTACCGAGTAAGCACCCTGGTCATCCAAGGGAGACACGGCATTGCACAAACTTACCTGGCCACAGAACAGAGACCCAGCAAAGCACGCGTGGAGAGCCTCTGTGGCATCAAAAATGGGGACTACGATACACTGCCCCAGACCCCTCCCTGGAGTTTCCTGTCTATAATTGCAGACTCCCCCTCCTCACCTCGCAATCTCTCAGCCCACCCCACATCCCAGCGGGAGGCCCTTGTTGGTACTACCGATTTCCCTGGGCCACACCCAAGGTCACTGCCCCCATGCTCCAGTCACACTGGCGTCCTTCCTGTCTCCCCATACTTCGCTCGTCCCAGGCCAACCTCAAACCTCCCTCTGAACGCCTGCCCTTTCAGGTCCTTGTCATTTGGGCTCTAGCGTCACCATCACCTCAGAGGCCATCCTGACCGCCTCACCTAAAGTGGTCACAGGACCCTGGTTACTCAGTGTCTGATCTTGCCTGTGACTGTTCGCTGGCTGTCTCCTGGAACTAGCTCTGCCTCAGCTTCTCAACTGCCAGAGTCAATAAACCTTTTTGGTTGGAGCCAGGCTTCCCATCACCCACCCAGAGAATCCTCAAGGATATGCTCACGACTCCTCACAAGAAGCCAGGTTCTTCTTCCCTGCATGACTCCCTCAGGCTTGTGAGAAGCCAAGGCCACAAGGCAAGCGGCAGCACCAGTGACCTGAGGCCCTAGAAACACAGGTTGGGCTTGCAGGGACATGGAAAATTTCCTTTCTGTATTTGCTTTTGTTTTGTTCCTGCTGTGCAACTTTTTAAGGTGAGAGTGCTGTGAAGGGATGATGGCTCCCACGAAGCCAGCGCCCCGCTGTGGACTCCTTCCCTCACTGTCCCGCTCAGGTGCTCCTGGTACATACAGACACAGGGAGTGCTGACTTTATTGTTTTCTTTTTTTAATGAAACTAGATCACTGCTTACAAAACCCTGCACGCGCCATCCTGCCCATCCCCTTCACAGTTCCCTTGGCCCAGCTCACAGAACTGAAATGAAGTGGGTGGACAGCCACCACCACATCCACTGTCAACTCAGTGAACAGCAGGAAGGACGAGGCCCTGGGCTTCGACCCTGGGCCGCCAGAGGGTGACAGTTCCCCCATGTTCACTCCCGTGGGGCCCAGAGAGGCATGGATGAGGGGGCCTATGCCACACAGCTCTCAGGCCACCACCCAGCCCAGAGTGAAATGATGAGG